AGGTACCGTGATGCTTGGACGCTTGCGCAGAGGTCTCCGCTGTGCGTACAGAAGCTGCGGTTGGTGGGAGTTGGAATGCCGCCGGTGAACCCGCCAACAAAAAAGTATCGGTCAAGATCAAACATCTTATTGGACCCTTTTTGGCAGTCTCTTTGCCCCACAGGCAACTTGCCAACAGCAACCTTCCAATAAATCCGAGTCAGAAGGCCTTTAACCAGCAATTGCTGAAGGTCATTCTTCACCGGACAAACATCCAATATCTTCGCACCATCACCACGGAGTTCATTGCTCCCACCTTCTCCTTCTTTTTGGTCAGTCTCCTCGCCAGAAATTTGTACTGCTCCTTCCGGCGCCGTCTCCTGTCCAGCCACTTCTTGCCCAGGAAGAACTTGAGCGCTTTCAGAGACATTCACCTGTCCAGCAACACCTTGCCCAGGTAAAACCTCATCCGTGGAGCCCACCGCCAGCGAACCAACCATAACTGAGCCATCCCTTGCTCTTTTCTGAGACTGTTCAGTTCGACGAGAAGGTTGTGGTAGCGAAAAAAACTTGTGAAGTCACTTCTTGGCGGGTCTCCCCCCGCGACGCTTTGTCGCGCCCTTCGCCAAGGTGAACCGATTTTTTCTGCCCGTCATTGGGGCCTGAAGAACCACCCAGCGGAACATTGCCACGAATCGCAGTTCTCTGTGAATCCCTTTCTTGCAAAAAGATTTCCCTCATACGTTGCGCGGCATTGGTCTCCTCCTCGCTTGAATCGCTTGAGGAAGCGGCATACGAGACCAAAGCCTCCGCCTGTTCATCATCATCCACCACATCTGCCCACGCTCTGCTGAACCGATACGACAACCCACCACGAGGCTTCAGTTCCAGTGGCTTCGGCTTTTCCACCACTTCCGCCGGTTGCACTCGTCGTTGTGACCGAGAGCGTGGCACCTGTCGCACCTGTTTTTTGTCCAGCAAGGGCCTTCCCCTTCTCACAGGGGATCGAAATTTGGTTATTAGCATGTCATCCGAGGGTGCAAGCGAACAGGATGAGAACCTGGCACTGGAGGACGATGCTGATCAGTCAATGGGTGACGGTGCGATGGTGTTATGGTGTATGATCCAAGGACGCTGATTCAGTCGCCAACAACTGATTGGGTTATGCGTCGCGGTCTGACCGATCGTTCCGTCTGGCCAGCAATGGCGTACATGGCACAGAGGATATGTGCTGAAATGGTTCAAGTGGATGAAATGAATGCCCAGCTAGGGACTGGAGCACTCCTTTTTCAAAGGAGAGATCAAGGACATTATTGTGACCTGCATCATTCGTTCCATGACAACCCGTGCTTGCCGGCGGTGGGAAATTATCCTCTTTCGGTGATGGGTGCCTTGTTGTCTCCTGGTCTGGAAGGGGAATTCAAAAATACTGACAAGTTTGGAACTGCTATGGAGGCAATTGCCTATGATTGGAGTCGCAGTCCAGGCATGGAAGTTCACATTGAACTTATGGCGAGGGTAGCCAAATTGGTTCACCCATTCCTGAATCTCGGAGCCCAGGGGTCGGTGATGGTTTCGGAATTTCTCTGGCAGCGCGGGAGGGCCCGGTTGATGGAGTTCCTTCAGGCGGCGACTTGTGCGGACCAATTGGAGGCTCTCTGGAGAAGGATGGACGACGATGCTGATGAAGAGGTGGATCCTTCGACAGCGGTGCTGGAAGTTCTTGGACCAGAGGATGCGGTACTTGATCAAGGGAACAATGAATCCCTTATTCCCATTGAAGATGCTGGAGGTGAGACAAGTGGTGACACTGGAGGGGATGGCAAAGCGCCAGAAGTTTCTCCGGAAGAGGAGACATCCAGTGGGTCATCAAGACTGGCGGACACAAGGATTTTCTTGTGGTCAGTGTACTCCCGCGTGGCGTCGAATTTCTCTATGCAGGACCGCACTACTGGTAAGATCTTTGACAGCACAAAAGGGTATCCTGGTGAAGGACCAAACAATGATGACAATCCTTCCTCTAAGAGGAACTTACCCTGGATCTCGGAAGACTACCTCGACGAAGTGGTGTCAAAAAAGATGGAAAGGTCTTCAGATATGGATGGGTTTGTTCCGGGAAGTGAGGGACCATTGGAAAAGGTAGAGGTGGAGAATGTTACTGCCTCTAAAATTCTTATGGCTCTTTGGAAGAAGGGATATAGAGCTGGGTATAGGAGGTTGTGTCGTTTGAATGCATCTGGATGCAAGGTTGGAGCAATGAAACGTCCAATCAAAAGGGCGCAGAAGATTGGCACTAGAAAGGCCTTCACGAAGATGTTCAATGTTTTTGGATCGTCTCAGCATGGCTCAGGAGTTGGCGGAAAACCAATCATGAAGGTGGTAGGACCAAGGCCAGGTTTTCCAGCTGTACTCCAAGCACCAAATACTGATAGCACGTCGGGTGAAGGGAGCAGTTCCCAGGTACATGGCAATGTTCATGTAGAGCACAATCGCCCTATGGACCGGTACGAGGCAGAGCGCTTGGAGAAGAGGAAGAAGGGCTTCTGCTATTGGTTCGGCAAGGGGAAAGATCGCTGCAAATTTGGTGAAGACTGCAAATTCATCCATTCCGAAGATGATGTGGTGCTACATTCGTATTGGTGCAAATACTATGTGGCAGGGAGAGAATGTTTCGCTGGAAAGGATTGTGGGTTCTCGCATGATGCAACTGGTGTGAGGTGCATCCAGTTTGCTCGGTCTGGGAAGTGTCGTTATGGTGACAGGTGTGTCTTCGAGCATGGTGTTCCGCTGGATGAACAGAGGCCAAGGTCTCCAAGGACGCCCCCAAGGGATGGTCCAAGGAGAAGTTCTGGTGCAAATGGTGGAGAAAAGGAGATCTCTCCTGAACAGTTCGATGATGGTGGCGATTTCATTTCTGTCCGATGGCAAGCCAGATTTGGCTCGAGCAGAGGCGGACCCATTGTTCAAACTCCTGAAGTTCACTGGAGATACTGACCAAATGGATCAAGAATGGGTTTCGTGGACCACTGGTATGTTGACCGTGCTGGAACTTCTCGAAGTAGTGAAGTCGTATGAGGTTTCGCTCGCGGAGGTGGAAGAATGGGTCAATGAGCTGAGGATATGGTACGAGCGAGCCAATTTGGGAGAAGAAAGGATTCCAAAAGAGGCAAAAAGAGGTCCCTAGAAAGGGAGTCCAGCAAGGATATTCCTGCCGAAAAAGAAGTGGTTGAGACTTCGGAGACGGAGGTTGCCGTTGAAGAGGAGAAGAAAAAGGTAAAAAAGAAGAGGAAAGCTGCAGCTATCGAAGATCCTTACACTCTCATGGTTCCAAAGCCGAAGAAGATGCCGACGATCATTGAGAAGGGTGGATCATCATCCAATGTGGTGGTTTCTGCAGTGGAAAAAGCCTCGAAAACGCGCACAAAGTCAAATGTCGGTGGAAAGACAAAGAAGAGGGAGAAAAGTCAGAGTCCCAAAAAAGAAGAGGTGGTAATGGTGCAAGGTCCTGAAGAAAAGGATCGTCCATCTGATGCGGATGCACCAGTGTCTACCACTGTGAATGCAGAGCTGGGTCAATCTTGCCAAGCGATTGAGGACGCAAAGAGAGAAGGATTGGTATCCTCAATTCAAAGGTGCGTACAGGATCCTGTTCTTACAGTTTCGGACCTGGAGTATATTCTGCTGCAACTTCACCTCAAGATTGCCAACAATCGGAAAAAGAAGTGATTGGATGGTATGGATGAAGGGATGGTTTTTTTTTTTTTTTAGACAGGTGCGCTGGAACAGCCAATGTGCTGACAATGTGGTGGTTACTATTAAGGGTATGGAAATCCCTGATAGTAGAAGTCAGTAGCTTTTCGCGTAGCGAAGACCACGGTTTGTGGCGAAGAAGGCCAAGGAGTCTTCAATGATGAGAGGATCCTGGTGAAAAGAGATTCTCTGTGGTTAGTGGGTTAGCCAATGTGCTATAATTTCGTCCTGGATGACGTAAAACCATATTGTGCATTTCGAGCAGCTGGCTGCTGCCCTAATGGCAGTTTTTGGCCAAAAGATCTGCACCTCCAATGTGTCCTAGGAAATCCTAGGACAGGGGAGTGCGGAGCTGCAATTGGTATTGTAGAAAGGAGTTAGTGTTGAGGGTTGGAAGGGTCAATGAACCCGGAAATCTTATTTGGCTCAAGATGGCCCAGAGCCGTCCGCTTTTCGTTGAAAAGGTTGTGTCCGTGTGTTGGGTGTTGGGTCTTGTGGGAGGTAGTAGTCCCGACCCTTCTCCCTTAGCCTTTCCCTCTAGGGTGGGATTCTTTTCTTACTGGTTCGATCTGGGAAATCCATATAGGCGACTGCTGAGGGTTGGTTCCTGTTCCCTTTCGGTTGCCCCCGTATAGGGTTTAAAGTTTAAGGTTTAAGGTTTCGGGTTTGCCTTTAAAAACCCAACACTATAAGGCCTAAACCCGAAGCCCTCAAACGTCGAGTTTGGGGGTTGCAGTTTGGGGTTCAGGTTTACGGGTCGAAAGTTTAGCGTTTAGGGCTCAGGGTTCAGGGTCTCGGGTTTAGAGTCTAAGGTGTAGGATGTTGAGTTTAGAGCTCCGGGTTTCGAGCTTGGAGTTTAGGGCTTGGCGCTGAAGACTGGCGGGTGGAAAAACTTGAGGAGTTGTATAAAGTTTGTTCCCAATAACGCATTTACCGGAAATGGCAACGAAACGTTTTTCCGCATGTTTTAACGGAAACTTCTGATCTACTTTATTCGTTCACAATCATTGAATCCCAGTCATGGGTGTGAAACTCAAGCAGATGTGGAGATTTCAGATTTCAAACCCGATAGTTTTTGAGTCGGGCGTGACATGTTGCAGCGCGGTGCAAGAGGCTTGCGCATGCAAAATCTCATACTTCAACTCGGAATATCTTCGAAATTCTCATATCGTCTTACGGCCAGGCAAAATTGGATGTCCGCAGTTCATTCGAAATCCTTGCAAATTCGGAAACGACTAATATTAGTTTTGCATTTATGATGATTCTGGCCATCATTTCAAGTCGGGGAAAAGTTGGATTTCACCTGCTTCTTTAGTCGAACCCTTGCAAATCTCATGTCTCAAGTTGGGCAGACCTTTGAGATTTCCGAAAGTTTTCGATGAGTTGCAGTAAAGATTGCTACATTTTCGGCGTCTGATATTCCGCATTTGCCCGAATTTCAATTCTACGAAATGGGGTCGACTGTCTTGATTGAACTGATTCTTTGAGCACCTCATATTTCATCAGGGTCATAAAACGATGGTTTCAAATCAAACAACAAACACATTGGGAATATTAGAGTGAATGTTATTCTTTTCGGGCTTGCAACCATTTGGACTGATAGTTCTGGAAATCTTGGAAACTCCAGAATTCAAATGGCTAGCTTTTGATTTCAATATTATCATTTGGAAACTTATGAAAATGAATTGGGATGCACTTGAAATCCTTGACAATTCGGAAAAAATTGAGAAATACAAAAATAATAAACAAATAAATGAATAAACACTCCTGGTTTGTCTTGATTCTGGATAAAGTCGAAAACCTCAAATTTCATCACGGCACAAGCCTGGAGATGCTCCAGTAAGGGAGCCTTGGAAAGGCTTTCAGGTTTCTCTTAGCACAAAAGACACATGGGCTGGAGAGGCTCAGACGGGCTTTGAGCCTTGTCGATCCCCTTCAACACGCGTAGAATAAATTCCTTCTCGGGAGAAGCCTCTAGAAATCCATACCAAAATTGCGCGGGGCGCCCTGGGCAGTACGTGCACCACTTTGGCACGTGTGTGGCCACGAAGCACGTGGGTTCCTGCGCCAGAAAGCAACGAACCTGTAAACCGCCAGGAGCATGTATGCAAAAGAAAGCACCGGTGAGCGCCAAGGGCGTGGCATGAAACCCACGTTGCGCCAACGCAGCGCTAGCTGCAGATCAGCAGGCAGCGCCAATTGCAAAGCAGCATGGCGAAGAGCCACGCGCAAAGCTACTGAGGAAGGAGTGTGACAGGCTCTAGCAGTTGCACAGGATGTCGCTTCTTCTTCTTCCAATGTTGCGCAGACGACGAGGGCACATCTCCAACACTGTCCTTAGTTAGATGCGATAGCTTTGCAGCATGAAAACTATACAGGGGCGGCACCTATGTACTTGCGCATGATAGCACGAGAGCCAAGAGGCTGCGGCTGCGATAGAGTCCCGCAAGGCGGACGCGTGCATCTTTTTCATCTCAAGAAGCTGAAAGGCTTTGAGCTTCTTTATCCTCCTCACATCAGCCGAACAGATTGCTTTCCAGGAGGCTCTCAAGAAGCTGAAACGGGCTTTTGTGCCTCTTCATCCAGGTCAAACAAATTGCGTGTCAGGAGGCAGCGAAGAGGCTGAAAGAGGCTTTGAGCCTCTTCATCCCTCCTCATATACATAAACAAACTGCTGTTCAGGAGGCTTGGGTCTAGGGTTGATAGCAAACTGTATAGGACTTGGGTCCGAGTAAATATTTCAATGGAACGTTTTCAACGAAACGTTATCAACAAAGCATGTTTAACGAAACTTTGTCAATGAAACGTGTACTTTAAAATCGGCTTGTTCGCTGTTTAGATCACTAACTTGGTAAACTCAGAATGATACCACGTACAATTTCCTGGTATTTCGTCGTGACGGCTTAGCAAGGTTTAGGGTGTACCTAAACCCTATATAACCCGAAATGAGCCATCTTTACTGTGGGCCTGTCCGCCGGGCGCACAACATGTAGTGCCACAGGACAGCAAGGCGCCCCAAGGTTTAGGGTGTAGTTTTGGGGTGTTGGGGTTTTGGGTTTAGGGTTGTAGGGGTTGGGGTTTGTTCACGGTTTGGGGTTTAGGGAGGGTATCGCCTGTGCGCATCTCTGCCCGAATGTTAGTTGGTGGTTGCGGGGGGAGGGCGCGCGGGTACTCTTTCGCTGCGCTTAGGGTTTAGGGTGTAGGTCTTCGGGTTCTGGCCAGCGACCTCGAAGAAGGTCCGTTTATGCTCACAGCGTTTCGGGTTTAGCTTTCATTCGGTCTTAGGGTTGGCCTTTAAGCCCTCTGAAAAATGTTTATATATAGGGTCACGTATAAACACACAAAAACCTACCTAACATAGGGGCCGTAGTAATTGGAATGGGGTGTTGAAGGTTCTTATAGTAAGATTATCAAGGAACCCTAAGGGAAAAATGCTAGTAAGTATTCCGACCCTAAACCCTAAACCCTAAACCCTAAACCCTCAACCCTATTGTAATTACTCCGACCACTATATTAGATAGGTCTTAGGGTTGAAGGGCAAGAGAGCAACACGGACTTGTAGGAGAGAGCCGTGAGGCTTACAGCTTGTGTGTCCTGGTGCTCCGACCATCCTTCTGGGTCTGGGGTCTGGGGTTTGGGGCTTAGGGTTTAGCATCTAGGGTTTAGGGTTTAGGGTTTGGGGTTAGGGGTTAGGGTTTAGGGCTTAGGGTTTAGGGTTTAGGGTTTAGGGTTTAGGGTTTAGGGTTTAGGGTTTAGGGTTTAGGGTTTAGGGTTTGAGGGTTTGAGGGTTTGAGGGTTTGAGGGTTTGAGGGTTTGAGGGCGTAGGGCGTTGAAGGTTTTAGGGCTTTGCGTTCAAGGGTACACCCTGAACCCTCATAAGCCTTCACGTATGCCCCTAAACCCTCAACACTAAACCGTACACCCCGATACCCTAAGCCCTCTAAACCCTAAACCCTACGCTTTCACGAGCCCTCAACATATGCTATGCTTGTCCCTGAGCTCCCAGATGGACATGACGATTCTCACAAAGGCTCTTGATCTTCTCGGAGTGTTCGTCCTCTTCCTCCTCCTCCTCGTCCTCCGCGCAGCGAAGTTTGGGGTTTAGGGTTAGAAGTTTAGGGTTTAGGTTTAGGGTTTGAGGTTTGGGGGTCCACAAATAAACATCCCCAAACTTCGAAAGCGAAGTAGACAAGTAGACCCTAAGCCCTAAGCCCTAAGCCCTAAGCCCTAAGCCCTAAGCCCTAAGCCCTAAACCCTAAACCCTAAACCCTAAACCCTAAACCCTAAACCCTAAACCCTAAACCACTCCATTGTTTAAGCGGAAGTTAAGGCGCCCCAAAGAAACCCTCGGTGCCAGGGTGCCGCGTTCGGGCATGAGGTGTAGGGGTCTTCTTTGGGCATGCCAGTAGGAACCGATGATGGAATCCCCAAGATGTCCTAGGTGATCCTAAACCCTAAACCCTAAACCCTAAACCCTAAACTGCTCAGAACCAGAACGTTCAGGGCATATGAGGCTGGGCCCAGGCCCGAACCCAACACCACCTCAACAGTTGGGAGTTTTGCGGGTCTTGGGGTTTACGGTCATCAGGGGCTTTAGGGTTTAGGGTCTGGGCTGTTTGCTGGGGCTGTGCTTCATGGTCATTAGACAAACGCGTCGTTGAGAAGCGCCCTACGCCTCTTTGTAGATTTGCCAGGGTTCTCGCCTCATGCCCGAGTGGTTTTCTCAAGAACCCAAGCAGGGGTGTCCTCATCAGGGTGGTCCTTGCAAAACTCCTCCTTGTCGTTGAAGTCCACTTCCTCCGCCGCCGCCTCCGCAGGAAGTTGAACCCCAACGCCACTATTCTTGCGGAACCTCAACCACTAAACCCGAAACGCCTGAACCCCAAACCCTACACCCCAAACCCCAAACCCTAAACCTCCCCATTGCTAGGAAACACTGGGAGGGCAGCCTGTGCATGCAAGTCCTCGCCATCTGCCTCTTCGAGGACTGCAAGGGCCCTGTGGGCGAAGGGCTTGGGATGGTAGGGGTTTAGGGTTTAGGGTTTCGGGTTTAGGGTTTGAGGTTTGGGGTTTAGGGTTTAGGGTTTAGGGTTTAGGGTTTAGGGTTTCGGGATTATTTATGGTTTGGGTTCTGAAGTGCTTCGTGCGCAACGTCCAGGCCTAAGGAAACTGGCACCTCATCGCATGGAGCTGAGGGTTTGAGTGAAAGCCAAAAGCGCCGAACCCAAACCCTAAACACAAAACGCCAAAGCCTAAACCCTAAACCCTAAACCCTAAACCCTAAACCCTAAACCCTAAACCCTAAACCCTAAACCCCCACATCTTGAAACCATCACGCAAGCCCTTGTCCCGGGACCAAACACTGAACCGAACCCTGAGCCTGCCAACCCATGAATCCTCGACCCTTGATCCCACAAACCCTAAACCCCAAGAGGTGGCATCGACGTTTCCAAGGCTGTAGGGTTTAGGGTTTAGGGTTTAGGGTTTAGGGTTTAGGGTTTAGGGTTGAGGGTTTAGGGTTTAGGGTTTAGGGTTCGAAGCACTCAACCGAAACCCCAAAGCCCGAAAAACCTCTAAGCGCTAAACACGTCATGTTGAACCCTAAACCCCTAAACCCCTAAACCCATAACCCAGAAACTCTCTGAGGGTAGCTACATGGTCCCTTAGTCTAGGCCCACTTATACAGCATGCCTCTTCCATATCCCATAAAAACCCAATGGCCCATACTTCAGAACCCTGTAAAGGAGGTAAGGTACCATACTAAGACACCGTGCAACTGCCCTAAACCCTAAACCCTGAACCCTAAACCCTAAACCCTAAACCCTAAACCCTAAACCCTAAACCCTAAACCCTAAACCCTAAACCCTAAACCCTAAACCCTAAACCCTAAACCCTACCCCAAAAACCCAACGAAGCGGCTGCGTCCAAGGGGCTGCAGGATGGCTTCCGAGGCCGTGCAGTCGCCAGCGTTGGAGATCACCACCACCTCGCAAAAGTGGGGGGGTTTAGGGTTTAGGGTTTAGGGTTTAGGGTTTAGGGTTTAGGGTTTAGGGTTTAGGGTTTAGGGTTTAGGGTTTAGGGTTTAGGGTTCAGGGTTTGGGGTTTGGGGTTTGGGGTTTGGGGTTTGGGGTTTGGGGTTTAGGGTCCAGGGATTGAGGGCTTTGAGGTTTAAAGCTTAACCCCCGAAATCCGGCCCTAGGGGCCCAAAACACCGCAAAAACGTGAGGATTCTGCAAACAGGATCAAACAGGGTTTCCCAGAATCCCCCTTATAGGCCGCCCCCTGTACCCCAACAATGGGCTCCTTCTGTTTGTGTCGCCTTTGTGCCCCTAAACCCTAAACCCTAAACCCTAAACCCTAAACCCTAAACCCCAAACCCTAAACCCGAAACCCTAAACCCTAAACCCTTCGTACCAAGCTCAGCCACATACCTGCAGGCGGGGGGCCATAGCTTCAACGTCCGACTCCCCAGCGGGGAGGACTGCTCCCTTCACTGCCTTGTGGAGCTCCTCGTGGGGTTTTGGTTCGGGGTTGAGGGTTGAGGGTTTAGGGTTAAGGGTTTAGGGTGTAGGGTTTAGGGTTTAGGGTTTAGGGTTTAGGGTTTAGGGTTTAGGGTTTAGGGTTTAGGGTTTAGGGTTTAGGGTTTAGGGTTTAGGGTTTAGGGTTTAGGGTTTAGGGAGGGCGTTCCCCACGAACCAAGGAAATCAAAGGATCTCCCATAGTCGTTCTCAACAAGAATGGGGAGAATGGGGTATTGGGGTTCGTAGCACCATTCCTGCAGCCTACTTGCCAACATGCCCTAAGCCCTCAGCCCTGAACCCTAAACCCTGAACCCTAAACCCTACAGTATCATATGTACACATCTGTCTCGTTGGCGTTCCTAGGATGGGAGAGCTGCCCAATACAACCCTGGAGCTCAAGACGCGTAGAGGCGGACCTAGATGATGGGCCCAACTTGGGGCTTGAAGCTTTGAGGTTTAGGGTTTAGGGTTTCGGGTTAGGGTTTAGGGTTTAGGGTTTAGGGGGTTTAGGGTTTAGGGGGTTTAGGGTTTAGGGTTTAGGGTTTAGGGTTTAGGGTTTAGGGTTTAGGGTTTAGGGTTTAGGGTTTGGGGTTTAGGGTTTAGGGTTTAGGGTTTAGGGTTTATATAGGGTTTCGGGTTTCGGGTTAGGGTGTGGGTTTCCGGCTTAGCATCTCTGTTTGCTGTCGTATTGCCCTGATGGTTTGAGGAGGAAGGCCTCTGATGTAGGTCCCTCAAAATTCCCTAAACACTAAACCCTAAACCCCAAACCCTAAACCCTAAACCCTAAACCCTAAACCCTAAACCCTAAACCCTAAACCCCTGTCCTGCGCCAGAGCCTTGGCTTCCGCCGGAGCTGTCTTCATGTCGAGGTGCTGTACGCCTTTGGCAGCGGCAAGGGGTTGGGGGGATGGGGGGGTTAGTGTTTAGGGTTTAGGGTTTAGGGTTTCGGGTTTAGGGTTTAGGGTTTAGGGTTTACGGTTTAGGGTTTAGGGTTTCGAGTTGCGAGTTTCGAGTTTAGGGTTTAGGGTTTAGGGTTTAGGGCTCAGGGTTGCATTTGCAGATGTACGTATGTGTGGATAAATATAGAAATGACCACATGGGGGTTCCCCAACTTAGGGGTACCTTATTGGGGTCCTTATGATAACGGAATCCTACTATTTGGGGGTCCAGATTAGGGGTCACCCATCTTCGTAAACCGTCACATAATACAATGCAAGATCATTCCTCTGATCATTCTTATAGTCAACATTGCGATGCTGATTCTGAGAGCTGCAAGCGCAAAATGTGTGCAGTGATATTCCCCCAACAGAGTGTTAGACTGTCAAGGGGCCTAGGCCTAACACCCTGAACTGTCAAGGGGCGTAGGCCAAAAACCCTAAACCCTAAACCCTAAACCACAGAGATTCAGGCGAACAGTTGCCTTCCTCGCAGAAAACCTCCTCGTCGCCGGCCATCCATCCACCTTGCGTCTCCTGAACTGGCGAAGCACGCAGGGTTTAGGGTTTAGGGTTTAGGGTTTAGGGTTTAGGGTTTAGGGTTTAGGGTTTAGGGTTTAGGGTCTAGGGTCTAGGGTCTAGGGTTTAGGGTTTAGGGTTTAGGGTTTAGGGTTTAGGGTTTAGGGTTTAGGGTTTAGGGTTTAGGTTTGGGGTTTAGGGTTTAGGGTTTAGGGTTTAGGGTTTAGGGTTTAGGGTTTAGAGTTTCGGGTTTGGGGTTTAGGGTTTAGAGTTTAGGGTGTTCAGGGTTTAAGGTTTCAGGTTTAAGGTTTAAGGTTGAGGAAACGAATGCCTCTAAGCAAGGAATCTCCATCAAGCATACAAGTACAATCGCGAGTACAAAAAAAAGGCTATTCGTCTCAAGACACCTGAACCTCGGCCATCACCAGCATACTCAGCTCACGATCCACTGTCACATTGGGTTGAAGGTTTTACGATTTAAGGTTCAAAGCTTAAGGTTGTTCAGGCCCATAAGTGGGAGGAGAGGTGAAGCACGGATCCCCCCCCGCCCCCCCGCAAGGATTGGCAATGCTTAAGACACATACATGCCATGAACCAAACGTCGAGCCGTAAACCCAAAGCCCTGAAGCTAAATAAGGTTAAGGGTTAAGGGTTAAGGGTTTAGGGTTTAGGGTTTAGGGTTTAGGGTTTAGGGTTTAGGGTTTAGGGTTTAGGGTTTAGGGTTCAGGGTTTAGGGTTTAGGGTTTAGGGTTTAGGGTTTAGGAAGCCCCAAGCCCCCAAGCCTAAACCCTAAGAAGCCTTTGCCCCGATTCCGACAGCCTACCCAAACCCTCAGCCCCAAGCCCTAGCCCCGGAGAATAACCCTGAAGTCTTTATGATGTCCTTCAGCGAGTGAGGGTACAAAACAGCCCTAAACCTCCCTAAACCCTAATCCCTAATCCCTAAACCCTAAACCCTAAACCCTAAACCCTAAACCCCTAAACCCTAAACCCTAAACCCAAGCAGCTGCAAGCTCGATGGCCGACATGGGCTCGAAAAGATGCAGCCTGGCACCGCATGAGGGGCAGAGTGCTTGGGCCTTTTTCGGGTGCGGGGTGTGAGTTGTTTGGGTCAAACCCTAAGCCCGAAAGCCCGAAATCCCTAAAGGCCTAAAACCTAAACCCTACACCTTAAACCCGAAACCGTTAACCGCAAACCCTAACACCTCCCCCCCCCAAAAAAAAAAATATATATATATATATATATATGCATTTATGTACACATATATATATATATACATATACATATATATATATATACATATATATATATATACAGTTGAAAAAAAGCAAGAAACTTCAGGGTGTGGCCTTGGGCCTTTCGACGTGTCGATGGCGGCGGCTTTCCGCTTCACCGGCAACTGGGCCGAGTTGAGGGACTTTGGGCGGTTTGGGGCCTAGGGCTTGAGAGGGGTTAGGGTTTAGGGCTTAGGGCTTGGGGCTTAGGGCTTAGGGCTTAGGGCTTAGGGCTTAGGGCTTAGGGCTTAGGGCTTAGGGCTTAGGGCTTAGGGCTTATCGCTTAGGGCTTAGGGCTTAGGGCTGAGGGCTGAGGGCTCAGGGCTTAGGGCTTAGGGCTCAAGGGGGTTTGTGGTTTAGGGTTGCGGGTTGTAAGATGTAGGAATAAGGGGGGGCTTAGGAGGGGTTGGGGTCAATTTTGGGGTCTTGAAAAGGGCTTAGGGTTTTGGGATGGGTGGGTTTTTAGGCAGGGTATAGGGGTTTGGGCTTGGTGGTCTCGGGCTTGGGCGTTGAAGGTTGCAGAGGGGTTTAGACTTCTCAGGGTTTCAAGAGGGTTTGGGGTTTAGGCTTAGGTCTTAGGGCTTGGGGCTGAGGGCTTAGGGCTGAGGGCTGAGGGCTTAGGGCTTAGGGCTGAGGGCTGAGGGCTGAGGGCTGAGGGCTTAGGGCTTAGGCCTTAGGCCTTAGGGCTTCGGGCTTAGGGCTTAGGGCTTAGGGCCTTGAGCAGATCCTTCACGCTGGCTTTGGCGATGTCGATGGGCCGCTGTCCATCGTTGGTCTGGAGAGTGACGTCCGCCTGCCAGCGTGAACCCTGAGCTCGACACCCCTAAACCTAGAACCCTAAACTCTAAACCCTAAACCCTAAACCCTGAACCCTAAACCCTAAACCCTAAACCCTAAACCCTAAACCCCGACCTCCAGCTCGAACTTAAGCGGTAGGGCGGATCTATGAATGTTGCCTATGCTTCCTGGGAGTCGGGGAATTAGGGTTTAGGGTTTAGGGTCTAGGGTTTAGGGCTCAGGGTCCAGGATATGACCTTGTAAGGGATTTTATAGGGTGCGTCATTCCCTCCTTCCACACTGACCCCCAAGTCGCATCATGGCATGTTGCTGTGGTTGATAGCAGGAATGCCTGGAGCAATCAAGGTAGTGGTACCAGGCCCCGCAGCGCGAGTTTGATCCCTAAACACTAAACCCTGAACCCTGAAAACCAAACCCGAAACCCTCAAGCCCTAAACCCAAACCTGAAACCCTGAAGCCCAACAGCCCTGAATCCTTAACAGCCGAACAACGCCTTCTGCTCCAGAAGAAACTTCACGACCTTCTTGTCGCCCGCCTCGATTTAGGGCTTCGGGTGCAAGGCCTGGGGCTTTCGGGTGCAGGGCGTGGCGTTTTAGGCTATCCTAGGGTTTAGGGTTTAGGGTTTAGGGTTTAGGGTTTGGGGTTTAGGGTTTAGGGTTTAGGGCTTCGGGACTCGTGTAGCGTGTGTTTGGCGCCTCTGCGGCCTGGTGTAAGGCCGTCCAGCGGCCAGCAGGCTGGACGTTGACCTCGGAGGTTACAGCGTTGCTGCTATATGGTTTATGGTTTAGGGTTTAGGGTTTAGGGTTTAGGGTTTAGGGTTTAGGGCTTAGGGCTTAGGGCTTAAGGTTTAGGATCGGGGGTTTAGGGTTTAGGGTTTTAGGGTTCAGGGTTTTCGGGTCTAGGGTTTTGGGTTTTCATTAAGAAGCCATATTCTGAGTTACGATCTAGGGAACATGCTTAGGGCTTGGGGTTTAGGGCTTAGGGTCCTTTAGGGTCAGTTTAAGGCGAAGCCTAGACCCTCAACCCTCAACCCGAAACCCTAAACCCTAAACCCGGGTTTAGGGGGGGGGGTTCGGGCCACTCCCTGAAGTCAGGTCGCATAGCCGGGATTCTCCTTCACAAGCTTCATGACCTTGTCAAACTCCTTCTTCTTGGCGTGGTCCAGAAACCTGAGGCAGGACCAAGAACATTCCGGGATCCGCAGCTCCAAAGCCCGAGTCGTCCTAAACCCTAAACCCTAAACCCTAAACCCCCCTGGAGCCCCAAAATCTCCTGAACCCTGAGAATTCAAACCCTGAGTTGACCCACAGCTGAGCCACGACAACTGACCCCCACGACACGCAAGGCTCAAAAGGGTAGGGTTTTGGGTTTAGGGTTTAGGTTTAGGGTTTAGGGTTTAGGGTTTGGGGTTTAGGGTTTAGGGTTTAGGGTTTAGGGTTTAGGGTTTAGGGTTTAGGGTTTAGGCTTTAGGGTTTAGGGTTTAGGATTTTGGGCTAGGACCCAAAGCGATCAACATGTTGAAACATGGCCACGGTGGCACATAAACTGCTCCCCCGATTCCGCAAACTCACCAAGACGCGTGGAACCTTTTCTGCAAGCTGAAGTCCGTGAGCCAACCCCAAATCCCCCAATCCCCTTGCAGTACGTACGCCCGAAACCCGAAAACGCTGAACTCCAAACACGCCAAATTAAAGCCCACGAAGCCCCCTAAAGCTAAAACCCTGAACCCACCCCGCAAGCTCTAAAACCCCCCCACTCCCTAAAAAGAACCCTACACCCGAAAACCCTCAACCCCAACTCTGCCCAAGACCCTCAAACGATGAGGGCTCCAAACCCTCAAACGATGAGTGCTCCAAACCCTCAAACGAAGAGGGCTCCAAACCCCAAACCCCCAAGCCCTAAACCCTAAACCCTAAACCCGAAACCCTAAACCCTAAACCCCAAACCCCCAAGCCCTTGCCACGAAGCAGATGCTGGCTCTTCACCGGCGGCACTGTCTTGGCCTTTGGTGCGCCTCTTGCCTTCGCCTTCGCCCGGCTCGTTGGGAAGGCATCTTTGGGGTTTAGGGTTTAGGGTTTAGGGTTTAGGGTTTAGGGTTTAGGGTTTAGGGTTTAGGGTTTAGGGTTTAGGGTTTAGGGTTTAGGGTTGAGTGTAGTTGGGTAGGGTGGGGGCAGGGGTCAGGGGCAGGGGGCAAGTTTTGCGGGAGTTTGGGGTTTTAGTTTCGGGTGCTCAGGGTGAAGGGCTCAGGGTTTTAGGTTTTTGTTTGGGGCTTGGGCGCGAGGGCTTGGGCCTTCAAAGCCAACAATCAAGCCCCGGAGCCAAGACACGAAGCACATGCACCCCGCATCAGCCTAAGCCCTAAACCAAAAGCCCTAAGCCCTCAACCCTAAACCCTAAACCCTCAACCCTAACACCCTCAAGCCTAACACCCTCAAGCCAGTGGCCCCGGGAAGCCCTGCGCGAACACGAGTCAACCCCAGAACATGAGGCGAAATCTTGGCTGGGAGGTTCAGGGGTACTTGTACCCCCAATTATAGGGTTTAGGTTTGAGTGAGGGTTTACGTACTTCTACCCCAATTAAAGGTCTACTTGTAACCTACTTAGGGGACTTGGGGGGGCGTATAAGTACAGCAATAGTTCAGGTTTTCAGTGCCCATGAACCTGCGAGTAGACCCTCGATTGAGAGCCCGTGCTTTTAGACACTTGTGGCAGCGAGCCCTTGTACGCATGGACATGTCGAAACCCCTAAACCCTAAACCCTGAACCCCAAACCCTAAACCCTTGCAAGTATGGACCTGTCGCTTTATTTTCCCAAAAACCGTATAGCTGAGTCTTTCTAGCAATCGCCAGGCACCCGACGTGACACTTGCACTTCTAACAGCTACAAACAGGAGAGGCCTAAACCCTAAACCCTAAACCCGAAACTTCCTAAACCCTTGGGGTACACAGCAAGGGGAAAGGGAAAGGGCAGCAATGCTCAAGTGCACCGGTGCAGGTTGGTCTGCCTCCAGCGGGCTACATATACATATATAGAGAGAGAGAGAGAAAAAAAAATATTTATATATATATGCATGCATATATATATATATATATATATATAGATATGCGCATACACATGTATATACGTATAGAGACTGTATTTGAACTTGTTCATTTATTTAGATATTCATACGTTTGTGTCTTTACACATTCATATATGTCTAAATGTTGTATGTATTTACTTCTATATTTCAATACTTGTATTAAGATAATTCTATACTTAGAAATTTGTATATGTGCAACTTGTCTTTTTAGATATTTAAGCACTTTTGTGCCTGTCCCTTTGTATATTTGCATTTTTATATTTATGCAATGCAATGTGTTTATACGTCCTCTTCTATATATATATATATATTGAAGTGTTCACCTTGTGCTTTGTTGCTGGGTGGCCATTGCCAAGTCAAGCTGCAGAAGCCCTCTGCACGACAGCGCCTTCTGATATATGACAGGATATTCGAAGATGGAAACATGTTATGTAGGGGTCGGAGGTGTTCAATCGTAGTGGGAGGGATTGTGGTGCGAAACGCGGCCATACCCCACCGGGCGCCTTCGCTTTGGCCTTTGCCTTGGGCTTGGCCTTGAGGGCCTTGTCAAAGTCCTGGCGCTGAAGGGCCGGGTCTGCACCCTAAACCCTGAACCCTGAACCCTAAACCCTAAACCCTAAACCCTAAACCCTAAACCCTGAACCCTGAACCCTGAACCCACCGGATGGATCCAAGAGCTGTCAAGCCATAGGTGTTCTTTAGCGCCTCCGTGGGCTAGAAACAGATGTTGCTGCGATGAGGGGGCGGGGAGGGGGGAGGGGGTGTCAATGCTCGGCAGAGGACATTACCCTAAACCCTAAACCCTAAACCCTAAACCCTAAACTCTAAACTCTAAACTCAACAAAAGTCCTGCAACATGCCCGGAAATGGTGTTAAGGGTTGGCGTGTTGGGTGTATTGATTTCGGATACTCGAAATACCAGGGGCCGGGTCATAACAGGTCTCAGTTGACCATGTACTTACAAGGCGTCAGTGTGGCTTTCGGAAGTAACCCTAAACCCTAAACCCTAAGTCGTAAACCCTAAAACCCTAAAACCCTAAACCCTCAATCCTGAACCCTAACCCCCAAACCCCCCGCCGTTCCTCTCCAAACTCTCCTTCTTGTGAGATCCTACTAGGACACTGTAAGAAAAAACCACGCGAAGGACCTTATATGTATGTGGGGGGGGTTTAAATTCTGGCCCTGCTTGGGGTACCCTCAGCGTATGGCTCTGGCAGAGCTCCGCAGTTTACGACAGTAGGCGCTACTTTGCATAGTGACACAGAGGGAAAGATGATCTTTTGATCCCATTCCTGGGAATGTTTTTGCGCTTAGCTGCGTAGAGGCTTGTGTGGGATTCACTGTCGGGTGCATGGTTGCTTCCGGCTTCAGGGAACAGGACGTGCATGGAGCTGCCTTCTCGGACCAGATTTCCGTGCCATACGCCTTTGCAGCCAAGACTTTGGCGGTTTTCGCCAGTTCGTTCGCTGCAACCTCGGGTCACACCGGCAAGGGTTTAGGGTTTAGGGTTTAGGGTTTAGGGTTTAGGGTTTAGGGTTTAGGGTTTAGGGTTTTGGGTTTAGGGTTTAGGGTTTAGGGTTTAGGGTTTAGGGTTTAGGGGTTTAGGGGTTTAGGGGTTTAGGGGTTTAGGGTTTAGGGGTTTAGGGGTTTAGGGGTTTAGGGGTTTAGGGGTTTAGGGTTCAGGGGGTTAGGGTGAAAGGCTTCAGAGTTCACCGCGATTTCAGGACTCAGGGCCCCAAAGGCTTCAGAGTTCTGAGGGTTCAAGAGCCCGAGAGTTGAGCTTTGGCTCTAGGTCTTCGAAAGCCCTGAACCCACAAGAACCCTAAACCCTAAACCCCAAACCCTGAACCCTAAACCCTAAACCCTAAACCCCAAACCCTAAACCCTAAACCCTAACCTCACTGGTCGCATAACTCCGGGCACGGGGACATGCTTGAGCTTTGGGGCTTCGGGCTCGGGTTCAGGGGTTCAGAGTCTGACAAGCCGCGATGATGTCCGTACTTTTCGAGATGCTTCCGGTCACCTTGGCACCTGCCAGAGCAAGCTAACTAGGCTAGGATGGCCCCTAAAACCCTCTGAAAAATATTCCTGAATATGATGCTCTTAAACCCAAATAAGGGAACATATAAAATGTCCCAAGGGCCTACCTAACCAGGTTTGTCGTGGAGGGTAGGCAGGGTCTTATGACGAAGCCCTGCAAGCCTCCATAACATCAGACGAGATCCGAGACCTGGAGCCCAGTTTCCTAGACGCCACCAAAGTCCTGAAGCACATGAAGTAGGGTTGTTCGTCCTTGTACCCCGGAGTCTCCGAAGCAAAAAACACCCAACATATACAATCACAAATGTGAAAAAGAAACCTTACAATACACTCACCAATAACAGCAATTTTAAACCCTATTTCATATAGCCTGAGGCCTTATGTGCCTTGATCGTCCCCACCCTACAGCGAACCGACGCAGGAACCAGGAAAAGCTCTCAGCGGGCTTCCGATGATAGTGGTAAAGATAACGAAAGGAAGAACGAATGACAACTGAACCAATACACAATGCTTCAACACTCATCCCTACAAACTACAACCCCCAACCCCCAACCCTAAACCCCAAACCCTAAACCCTAAACCCGAAACCCGAAACCCGAAACCCCAAACCACAAAACCCTAAACCCCAAACCCTTAACTCCAAACCCCAAACCTTAAACCCGAAACCCCTAACCCCTAAACCCTAAACCCTAAACCCTAAACCCTAAACTAAGCTCAACCAAGGCGGGGGCCTGCTTGGGAGGCCAGCTTGGTCGCCTCCTTGCGCGTGATGCTCAGCGCGCCCGTGAAAACGACGCGCTTGCCATCCAGAGACATGGCAGGGGGCTTTGGGGTTTCGGGGGTTTCGGGGTTTCGGGGTTGAAGGTTTAGGGTTTAGGGTTTAGGGTTTAGGGTTTAGGGTTTAGGGTTTAGGGTTTAGGGTTTAGGGTTTAGGTGTAGGGTTGGGGGGATCTAGGGATGAGGGGTCTTTGCAGGGTCGTATGGCCCAGGGTCGAGGTTCTACACATCGAGTCCACCTTTCGACCGGGTCCGGGGCCCCTTAGCTGACGCCTTAACACGGAATAATTTACTAGTGGCATTCCCTCATATACTTGCACGATAATTGCCCCCAAAACCCTATTCTAACTAGTAAGCAAAACCCTATTCTGACGATGAAGGCCCCTGTATTCTGGCAGGGGAGTGGTTTGGACTTCACATGAAGGTAGCAAGCCACATTGAGAGCTGGGCCAAAAGAAGCGCGCAGGCCCTCTGCGCATCACGTTGTGGGAAGGCTTGGAGGTCTCAAGGTTTAGGGTCTAGGGTTTAGGGTTTAAGGTTTAGGGTTTAGGGTTTGGGGGTTTAGGGTTTAGGGTTTAGGGTTTAGGGTTTAGGGGTTAGGGGTTTAGGGTTTAGGGTTTAGGGTTCCCTAAGCCCTAAACCCTAAACCCTCAACCCTCAGCCCTCAACCCTCAACCCTCCATCTTTGGGTTGAGGCTCTGGGGCCTACACTGGTGCCTACACTGGACAAACTAGACCCTCGAGCCCGTAGTCCCCTGCACACCCGAGCCCTTGGGGTCTTGGGGAGCCCGGACTGATGTACAGAATATTCCGTTCATTCACCCTAAACCCTAATAACGACCTTGGGGGTTTTAGGGTTTAGGGCTTAGGGCTGAGGTCTTCGGGTTTAGGGCGCCTAAACCCTAACCCTAAACCCTAAACCCGAAACCCTCAGCCCAATGTATGGAGGGAGTCTGGAGTTCTGTTGGACGGGAATGTTGGGGGTTGGGATCCCCAGGGTCTTCTTGGGTCGAGTGGGGGGGGTTTTGGCAGATCAGTTGGGAATTGGAGTCTAGGGGTGGGGGGAGTCTAGGGTTCCAGGGGGTACCCGGGTATCCGAAAAAAAACCTTAAATCCAAAACCCTAACCCTAAACCCTAAACCCTAAACGGGTTTGGGGGCTCAAGGCCCGCGCGGTAGAGGAAAGTCCGCTTCCGCGTGTTGTACGCGCTCTTCGGCGAGGCGGCTTTGCTGTCCGCTGCATCCTGCGGACTTTCGCTGTAAAGGCTTTAGGGCTGAGGGTTTAGGGTTTAGGGTTTAGGGTTCAGGGTTAAGGGTCTAGGGTTTAGGGTTTAGGGTTTAGGGTTTAGGGTTTAGGGTTTAGGGTTTAGGGTTTAGGGTTTAGGGCTTAGGGTTTAGGGTTTAGGGTTTAGGGTTTAGGGTTTAGGGTTAGGGCTTAGATGTTAGGCTTTAGGGAAAGGCGTCCGTTTAATGCCACATATAAGCTCCGGAGTATAGCAAATCTCTGAGTCGGAAGTACCAAGTTACTAAGTAGGAAAGTGAAGGGCGTGAAATGACCTCCCTTGCCCCAAGGGTTTAGGGTTTTGGGTTTAGGGTTCAGGGTTTAGGGTTTAGGGTTCAGGGTTCAGGGTTTAGGGCTTAGGGTTTAGGGTTTAGGGTTTAGGGTTTAGGGTTTAGGGATTAGGGTTGAGGGTTGAGAGTTTAGGGTTTAGGGTTTAGGGTTTAGGGTTTAGGGTTTAGGGTGTAGGGTTTAGGGTGTAGGGTTTAGGTTTCGGGTTTAGGGTTTAGGGTACTCTACATGAGCCCTAAACCTGAAACCCTCGCACCCCCAAGCCCCGAAACCTCACTCGCCCCAAAACTGTCAAACCTGAGCCTTGTGGGGTTTAGGATTCCAAGCGCGGCCCCCCAAACCCCAAACCCCAAACCCTAAACCCTAAACCCTTGGAACCCTAAACCCTAAACCCTAGCTTTGCCTCTCAGGTCTGTTAGCAGTTTGGGGTTCAGGGCGTAGGGTCAAGTTTCAGGGCTTCCGGGGCTCGTTGCCGCCATGGAGATGCGCCGCAGGATGCTGTTCGCAAAGCGGTTTCGGGAGGTTCATGGACATGCGCGGGTTGGGCACCTCGGACACGAAGATGAAGCGAGCCCCGGCGGAGGCGAGAAGAAGGGCGAGCTGAGCGGGGTTTACGGTTTAGGGTTTAGGGCCAGGGTTTAGGGGCTTCGGGGGGTTTAGGGAGTGGTCAGGGGGTTTAGAGATTTGGGTTGTCTGGCGCTAAACCCTTAAACCCTAAACCCTGAACCCTGAACCCTGAACCCTAAACCCTAAACCCTAAACCCTACACCCTACACCCCCTACACCCCCTACACCCTACACCCTAAACCCTAAACCCTAAACCCTAAACCCTAAACCCTAAACCCTGACCCCTAACCCTAAACCAAGCATGCTGGGCCTCTTCCGCACCTGCGCCTCGCTCTGCCTCCAATGGCTGCCCATGGGGGTCCCCCGTTTAGGGTTTAGGGTTTAGGGTTCAGGGCTTAGGGTTTAGGGTTTAGGGTTTGGGGTTTAGGGTTTAGGATTTAGGGTCAAGGGTTTAGGGTTTTAGGGTTTAGGGCTCAGAGTTTCAGAGTTTAGGGTTCAGGGTTGAGGGTTTTGGGGCTTTCAGGGGTGTTTGGGGTTTGGCGGGTTTGGGGGCTTCAGGGTGTTAAGGCCCTAAACTAGCCGATCGTTGACCGAGTCACGCAACAAATGGGAAACAGAAAGCCAACCTCAGGAGCCTATCTTGGACATCCGGAAGTTCAGGGTTTAGGCTTTAGGGTTTAGGATTTAGGGTTTAGGATTTAGGGTTTAGGGCTTCGGGCTTTGGGCTTAGGGTTTAGGTTATCTTCATAACTCCTGGATGATTTCCAAAATGATTTCTGGGATTCTCAAATTATTCATCGTCGGTCACCATTCAATGACCTTTGCCACGTCGTCTACTTCTCTTCTTGGAAGTCTTGTTTCGGGGCATCATATGTATACCTAGACCCGGGTGCCCTTTTGGTTTG